ATAAAATAAAAAAAATAAAAAGTTAATGATTGATTTTTCTATATTTATTAGTTTTTGGTTAATTAAATAAAAAGGTATTAAGATCATTTACATCTTAAAAATCAACTTCACAGTACTACAAATATATTTTTTAAAACGTTGAGGTATCACTTTAATATTATTAAAAATATAAGATATTAAAAACATGTTTCGCTACAACACAAGATATCATAATGCTTTATCCCTAAATTAAAATAGTAGTACATGACCTATGTCACGACCCCTCACGAGCCGTCACAGTTATCGTAACTTTCAAACATTTTCCTCTTAAAGAATGCGGAAAATCGTTAAACTTAAAATACTTTACTTTGAACGACTTAAAGGAAAGCCTATATTTTTTTTAAACATACTATCTTTAAATTTTTGAACTTCCTCAAAGAAAAATAAAACAACCTTTGGTTCAACTTAGTTATTAAAATCTATAAAATCTAAAATATTCTTCAAATCAAAACCACCATAAACAGAAGTTTCAAAACAATAAAAGTAAAAACCAAAAACTTTGTTTAACCTTAAACACTTTCATCCCATGATCGTTTCTCTCATTTTCCTATCACGCATAGCTTGCATCCACTCTGATACCATATCTGTCATGACCACTCACGAGCTGTCACAGTTATCGTAACTTTTAAATATTTACCTCTTAAAGAATGCGAAAAATCGTTAAACTTGAAATACTTTACTTTGAACGACTTAAAGGAAAGCCTTGTTTTATTATTTTTTTTGAGAAAGTTCAAAAATTTAAAGATAGTATGTTTAAAAATATATATATAGGCATTCCTTTAAGTCGTTTAAAGTAAAGTATTTTAAATTTAATGATTTTTTGTATTTTTTAAGAGGTAAATATTTAAAAATTACGATAACTGTGATAGCTTGTGAGTGGTCGTGACAACCTATTACACTCGTACCGATTTCTAACTTATTTTGCATGTTGGATCTTTCAAGCAAAAGAGAAAATGCTGGATCTTAATTTGAATTGGACTTTCTCTCGTAACTTGAAATTCTGTGAACCAATACAGAGAACTAATAAACGACCAAGAGTGCATTTGTTCGAACAGTGCTGTATATGTCAACGTCTTTTCCAGGGATTTCACACAACTTCAAAAAATAAAGAATTCATTATTAAGAATTATTTTTAATAAATATTTTTTTTATTAATGTAATTATTTAACTAAAAAAATTATAAATTAAAAATAAAAAATAAAAATATTAACTCATATATTTTTTAAAAATATTTATCAAGATTAACCCAAAACTGACAACATATACATCACTATTACAGATATGTTGATGGTCTTAAGCAAGACCTAGCTTCAGATCAAAAAAAAAAAAACAAAAACAAAAACCAAAGACCTAGCTAGCATGTATTCAGTGTAGCTAGTACTAGCTTTTCTAAACCGTAAACTAGGTTACACGCGTGGACCCAGTTTGTTTTTGTTTGCTACTCAGAAAAAAGATTTGATGGTGCATAACAAACAATTTTAGAGACTTGAGTATGTTGAAAGGGCTTAAATTAGTTTTTTTTGACTGATTATTCAATTAGTTTTCACTTCCTTCCATTCTATCTGTGGGGTCTGCGGAGGCCCATTTAATCTTCCACAAGAAACAGTGCAACAACGTGTAAATACAGAGTATCAAGCTTTGAGAAAATGAACAAAGAAAACGTAATAAAAACGTCCTTACTACTACAACACGACCATCGGTGGTGTGTGGACCCAGTTTGAAACCATATAATATCATATCATTAGTACTGGTGTTAAATTTTTAGAAACCTCTATATATGGCTAAGGAATGAAATAGGCTATATATATATATATATAAAGATTATTAGTACTTATGGTGACAAAATGTGGTTCCTTTTACGTGACACAAATAGTTGGGGGACATGCTATTCAACTTTAGAAGGAAAAGTTTTCTACCAAAATGATGGAAAAATTGAACAATACGGCAGAGATTATTGACGAATATATATAGATACTTTTTCATGTCCATTTAGAAATGATTGTCATTAGGAACAAATGGGGTCTCATTTTGTATGATGGTAAATTACTCTCTTTGTGGTTAGAATTCTGTCACATATATAGATAGATCTATAGGCATTATAAATAGCAAAATCCAAAAAATCTAAGCTAATTAGAAATTTACAGTCCAAGTTGGTAAAGGGAAAAAAGAGCAAAATCACCACATTGTTCAACTATTTCATCATGTTCCTCAACACAGTATTTGAATATTTGGTAACCAACAAGTTGACCCCCATGTGGAACTTTCACCTTTGTTTCCAATCATGAAAGAGACTACACGTGTTTATAATGTGCATGCAAGATGATGATAGACAGTGAGAGAATATTAGAGAATTTATATATATATATATATATATATATGCAGAAAATTTTGCAGAAAGCATTAGATCATATAATGGGGCTAATATACTAGCTAGCTGTATTGATGTTACTGAGAGGTGAGCAAAGTGGTAAAAAACAGCAATTATCAATCACCTTTCTGTTCGGTTGAGAAGTGTATCTGATATCTTTGCAGTGATTATAATCTTCATGAAGAAAAATATATTAAAAAAACAATATGTATAGTTTCAAAGGAGACAATCATATTGGCTTTCGTATAGAATGGGGACATTTTTCTCCATTTGCCATAATTGATGGAGGATTCCCTTGTGAGGCCCCGCATCTCTCAATCTCTCATTCTTTTCTTCTTATTATTTATGCGGAGAATTCCATGATAGGGTTCATGTACAATTCTAGACCCTTAGATTAAACATTAAGGAATATGATAAAAATCTGACAGTTACATAAAAAGTACGTAATACTAATAAGATTTATAAAAATATTATATTAATAGTAGTTTAGAGACTTCAGATCATATAAAAATCTGATATAAATATGACGGTCAAAATCAAAAGAAAACGGCATAATATCGATAATATATTTTTCCGTTCAAGATCACAAAAATTTTCTATTTAGTCACATTAAAAAAAAAAAAAAAAAAAAAAAAAAACAGAGACGACTTGTGAAAATTGGGCCTACAACATATATAAGCAAAGCATCACTAGTGGTTGAGAAGAAGTAACACATGATGGTGCACAACTTTATATGATACCTCCTACTGCTAGTACTCAATCACCCACTCATGCAATCAATCTAGAGTAGAGTACTCATCATTATTTGTTATGATATGAGCCTTGGATGGATGGATGCCACACTCAAGAAATCATATTACTTAAAGGGCCTTCATAATTCAGTGTAGGATATAATAATCATAAGAGGATCTTTACAAATTCTCAATTCAAGATTTTATATAAGGTCCTAGTTTTATCCTAAAAATAAAAAATAAAAAAGGGAAATTCACAAGTATCCAATGTCTCCAAAGTCTAATCAAGGTCCACTTGCTGCTAATAACAAACGCCACAAAATAACCCAACAAAGATAAAGAAAAAAAAAAAGAAAAGAAAAGAAGAAACACTCACAGTCCATCTCGTAAGATCAAAAGAGAGATTTTTAAAAAAAAAAAAAAGACTTTTGTACAATGTTGCTAATTCTTAATTCCCAAATTTTATGCCTTTTCTTATATCAGCAATCGGGTTAAGATGGTAGGTAAGTCTAGAGCCAAAAAGGGCTCACTTGGGACAAACAAAGTGGTGGGTCTCTTTGAGTCTTGTTTGCAAAAGATGTGGGAGCTGTCCCAGGTTGGGCCTCTAACATGCCTAATTGGCTTTAGCCTGGCACACAATGTAATGCCATTTCATTATTTTTTTTTTCGGTTAAAGGAGTTGTTACTGGTTTTATATAATTCTGAACCGTCACATTACATCATAATTATATGAAAACAAAAGAATATCCTAATTCTATAAACATTATTAAGATTTGATGGTTGAGAATTGTGAAACACTATTATAGTATCCATATGTGTGTGTGTGTGTGTGTGTGTGTATCTTACCCAAGAATTCCCCACCTCTGTTCCGTGAATTAGTTCTTAGCGTATGTAACGGTCGGCCATGTTTTGTAACTATAATCCATTCCAATAGATTAGACATTAGAGGCCCTTTTAGTCATTGGATAAACGTTGGAGCCCACTTGGGCTACACCATCTCTTTTCTCTTTTAAATATGAAAAAGGGCTGCACGTCCTGCACTATACCTGTCCTTGATTCGTTTTTCTTCACACCTACCTATCTCCGCGTACCTTTCTAGTTTGGAATAAAATGATATGGAACCAGCCAAAAAAAAAAAAAAAATGGTGCTGAATTTGTCGGTTCTTGTTTCTCTTCATTTTCACTTTGTGGGAGTAAGATGAAGTGTCGTGAGATAATTTTATTCTCAGTTTGGCAATGTTTTTAATTGTGAAATAATCCTTAATCTTTTGTTAAGAAACCAATTATCTGATATCATCATGATAAACAAGTCTCAGTAGTTATTGTTCTCACGGCACAAAACAGCCATTGCTTTTGCATTACGTGATAACAGACAAGCTAATTACCTTTTATTCAATCAGCATCAGTGAAATCCCAGACGACACTATTAGTAGCACATATTTCATCTTTTTTTTTTTTTGATGTAATTTGTAATTTAAAAAGTATTGTAAACTTTTGAAACTGTAAGTCTATACAAGTGGAGTGGTGATTCACGTAACTTGGTGAAGTTTCCATACTCATGAGAAGAAAAAGTCAAATGCGGGATTATTCCTTTTGAAGTTTAATCTAACATAATCCAACCATGATGTTAGATTTAGTCAAAATTAACAGTGCGAAAACTGAAGACTTTTTTCGCCTTCACAAGTGGAAGGATGCATTTAAAGAATATACTAACTTTGCAGAGTATTAAGTAAAGAAATAAAACTTAGACTTAAGTAACAATCTTTGAGAGAAAAAACTAAAACATCTTTCATGATTTGTAACAGTATCTTTTTACACGATAGATTCCGATAATCTGATAAGACACGAGCTAGGGAGGTTTTCGTTATCACCCGGGGAAATATTTGTGGTATTTCTAGCTTATGTTTCTAATGTTGGGCTTGAATCATCAAAGTGGGTGGCTGGAATGTAATTTTGGAGTGGTTGTGATCACCTTCATACGTCACAACTAACATGGTTGGATCATCCAAACACCTCTCTACATGCTTCCTTGCAGGGCATCCTTTCACACTGCTGCACTTGTAATAGCTCCTTTAATAAAAAAAATAAAAATAAATAAAAAAAAAACATTTCCATGTAATTCATAAGATAAAAATTATAGTATGTATTAACCAAAACAAGAAAAAGGAAAAAAGGTTCTAGTTTGTGAAGATACTGAGAATAGGAAAATTAAGAGAGAAAAATTGACATATATATTATATATACCTGGGATAAGGAGATCCTTTTATGGGCTTTTGACCATATTTCCTCCAAGAGTAGTCATCAGGAGGTATATCTGCTGATTTATTGCTTACAGATGGAACTCTAATTCTTCTCCTTATTCTCAGCTTCCTGTAAAACAATAGTGAATTTAAAAAATAAATAAATAATGATAATAATAATCATCATTTGAGAGTCTTATCTGAAGTATACGGTAAAGTACTTAATTATAAGTAAGCTGTGAAGTTGATGCCAATTAAGTCAGTACAGATCATCTGCTTAATGGTTAAGAAACACATAAAAACATCATTGAAATTCACTGATGCACGAACATCTTAATTAAGCTTGGGCAGGAAAAGAAAACTTATCTTTTACTTATGGCGCAAGAAACTACAGGACACAAGGAATATTAGTTTTACCTTCGTTTTGAGCAGTGGCATCCACCGGTTGAGGCCACGCATCTCGTGCCGGTATCTTCGCTTTTCGCAGCCCCACACGACCTGCTGTTGGAAGAGAACATGGAGGAATTACTGACCTCCGATGCCAAATGCTCCGACGACGACGGATAGTGAATTACGCGCGTGTTAGTGCTACTTCTTCCATGCATACTGATCAAAGAGTTGCTAGTAGTTGGCTGTTGTGAGAATTGGCTCAACCCCATCACTGAATTATTATTATTATTATTATTAGGAACAACCACAGTACTAATTGTATGAGAGGAATAACTTGGAGGGAAAAACTGTCTAATGACAAAGGGTTGAGAGGAACCACGACTAATATCCATAAATTCAACATGATTAACATCATGGGTTTTAGGCAAAGGACCCTTTCTGATCCTCTTTTGATCTGATGATGGGTTTGATCTATCCAGGAGAATAAGCAGCTTCCGGAATTCACCAATGGCTTCTTGAGCAACCAGGCTTACTTCTTGAAGGCTTTTCTCTTGCTTTACACAGCTGAGAAACTCATGTGCTTGTGTTAAACCACTCTGAGCAACCTCATGGATTCTGGAATCCCATGAAAGACATAATAAACCTGGAGTTTTTTCCATCACTTGATGAATTGATCCACAATACACAAATGGTAATTCTGTTGAAGCATTTCAGTTATGTCAGTTAACACTCAGACTGTGAAAAGTGAAGGCTTTATAATCGAGATAAAACCATGGAGTGCGGTCAGTAATTTCCAAATCTTTTTTTCCCCTTTTTTTAATCTTTTCTGACCAGATCCAAGCGCTAGAAACCACCATATATAATATCATGTTGGTTTTGCTTCATTGGTTTGGTAAACAAACTTTTTTAAATTACTCCACTTTGTGAAAGATTAATTTCCTAGTTTTTGGTACAAACTGATGATGTGAACTCTATCTATATTGCCTGCCTCAGAGAGTCAATGGTGGTTTAAGCTTCAGAACGCACTATCTAATGCACATCTCAATAATCTTAAAATTATATGAGAGAGAAAGATAGATAGATAGATACTAGAGAGAGAGAGAGAGAGAGAGAGAGAGAGAGAGTGGAAAATATGGTGGACTTGATCACTATAGAGAGACATTATTTAATTGACCTTAATTGCATGCAGGCGCAGCAATTTTGTGTTTTATGCATCATTATTCAATTAAAGAAAAAAAAAATAGTTGATGTAAACCTCAGCCCTAGTGAGATTAAGATTCTTGGGGAAAATATATATTACACTGGTTAATCATACCAGAATAGTTCTCTGAGTGTTAGTCCAAAATCACTTTTATTATTTTTAGTTCCTTAAAAATTTCAAAATCCTACATATGAATGAAGTTGGTAAAAAGATGTAATGCTGTATGTTTGTAGTTAATAGCACAAGCACATAGAAAGGCAAAATGTAAAACTCTCAAGTGAAGTGGTCTCTAGACTGTAAACCATACATTAAACAAGAACCAATTAATGAACATGAAATAATGGAAGTATGGAACTAAATAAAATAATCCAATCTCTTTCCAGCTATATATATATATACACACACACATATATATATATGCATTATGATTTTATAAAAGTGGGTCGTGGGGTCAACACATGTTAGTGTACAATACATAAAAAGACACACAAAGATTCAAAGTAAAGAGTTTTGGTTGTATGTATGTATAGCATTACACCAAGGAGTCCATGAATCCAATCCACTGACCAACCAATAATCCAAGCAGTGTGATATATCAAACAAAGGCCTTTTGGTCTTTTATAAGGCACTTATCCTCTTCTTTTCTTTTTTTTTTTTCGAAAAAAAATGATGAAAGTATCTTCTCTAAGATGTCTTTTAGTGGCTTCGGTTCCACTCCTCCCATCACTTGCATTGTTTTTACTTCTTTTGATTAGCTATACCAATCTCAATTAAATTATAAAATAATGATTTTGGTTTTATGGTAAACATATGTAGTATGACATAAGTGGATATGTATCTTCCTCCGATGGATGCGGAATGTGGGACCCAAATGGTAAGAATTACACAAGGAGATGCACTAAAGCCGCTAATGGTTGGCAGAAGAATTTTATTTTTTGTTTTTATTTTTTATTTTTTAAAGAAAAAAACCTGTAATCTATTATTGTAAAACAAGTTGAAGGACTGTACTATCTTTTAGGTAAGAAAGCAATTTGTTAAATTCTGTGACAAGATATGTAAACAAAAAGAAACCAAAAAATCTTTTAACGAACGAGATTCTTTTTAGATCTGGTGTATTGATATGTCAATTTTTTTTAACTGTTAAATTTATGTATTTTTTATTTTTATTTAATTTTATGCATATTTAATGGGTAAAAAATTTAAACTATTAATATGTTAAGGTACCAAAAAAAGTCTTTAATCATAATTGTCTTTCAACATTTTTTTTCTTTTTATATAATACATTCTTTAATATGATTGAACGTGTTCCAACTTGACAGTTAAAAGCGTACAATACTAATTTGTTATTCCTTGCTATAAGATTTCCCGAAGTTAATTGTATTTTCTTGTGTTTGTTTTTGGCTTGAAAACAATTTCTTTGTATTTGATTGTGCTGTCTTTACAGTTGGAAGGAAAAGAAACGAACAAGGGACTTGGAAAACTGAACACAGACACACATATATATAAAAAAATATATTTATATATATATATATATATGTGTGTATGACAAATATGGATTATGGACCACCTCGCTGATCCCCTTGGCCTACATACCACAAATCTGACTTTAAAAGTTGTGCAAAGTGTAGCACACAAGTTTGTATTTGTGTATTGAAAAAGACAAAAAAAAAAAAAAAAAAAAAACTGCGTAGCGGATAAAATAAAAAGGCCAAAATTTGTGGGTGAAATTGAGTGAAAATGATCGTAAACTTGGGAAATGTGGCTCAGTTTTACAAATTCATTCTTTTTCTTTTTTCAACGACTCAAACTGCAGATTTGAATCATTTTAGTTAAAATTATAAAATTTAAATTATAATAATTTTAATTGTGATTCAAATTGGTATTTGGATATATAAATAAATTGTAATTTGAATTAGAAATAAAATTTAAACTGTATTTGAATAAAATGTTAAAAATTGTCATTAAAGTTTTGTATCTTATAAAACATCATTGTAAATGATATTAAAAAATATGTAATATGTGTGGGGATTTGTTCATCTCTTCATTATGAACACGCTAAAAAAAACCATCGCAATCGGAATTAAAATGAAAAAGTTATGATATTTTTAAGATTGAAATTAAAGAAAAAAAAATATAATCTGTAACTGTTGAATTATTAACAACAATTTAGATCGTTAGAATTTAGAGGATAGTGAATTTTAAAAATTAAGAATTTGAACTATTGTTAATATTTTGACTTGTCATTCAATTTTTCTCTCTCAAACACCAATTTAAATCTCAAACTAAAATTTGAATCCTGATCAACAATTTGAGTCGTTGATAAAAGCGGAGATCATTGTATTCTAATACTTGTAATGAAATTTCACAACTGCCTCCTCTCAACTCCCTTGAGTTTTGTCCAAGTACTACTACACTTCTATCACTTTTCTGACTTCTACAAAGTTGAAACTGCAACACCTTAACATAAGTTTTAAAATAAGTCATCAAGATTAGCCCAGCTGCGGAATTTTTGTGATTGAAGTTTAACGAGGACAGCTCGTAAACTTTATTAGTTAAAAATCACAAAGTCCTTAATTACTAAATTTACTTTTAAAAGTGTATAAGTCTTGATTTTTACTCATACTCTGATTAATACCTTATTATTGACTAAAAAGATATTAATTAAGAATAAATGATAAAAATCTAGACTCATGTACTCATTTGGATTGGCTTAAAAAAGCTGATTTTGGCTTATTTAGTCTAAAAGCCTCTTTTGAACCTGTTTGAATGGACAATCTTAAACTATTTTTAGCTTTTTTAAGCACTTTTAGAACAAGTCATCTCCTTTGTGCTTTTGAAAAGTTTTTTTATTTACATTTTTAACATTTTATTTGTGAACAACAAATTAAATATATAATTCATATCTTTTTATTACATTTCTTTTTATAACAATAAGTGTTTTTAACTTTTTTTACCCAAACAGGTTCAAAAGCTTTTCTTATATGTAAAAACACTTTTTCATACACCATCCAAATACTAATAAAAAAAAAAATCCCAACTTATGGTTATCTTCTCCTGCTACTTAAAAGCACAAACACAAGTTATCCAAAACGAGCACGTACTCTAAACGGGTATTTGTCTCTTTTCTCTCTGGGTAATTTTAACAAATGCCTTTTAAAAGTGCACGGATCAAGATTTTTACTCTTTACTCTTGATTCATAACCTTTTTAATCAAATAATTACACTAATAAAAAAGTATTATCAAGAGTAAAAAGTAAATGTACTCATGAAAGTAAATTCTCTATTTTTTCTTTCCCTTTTGTTAGACTTGAGCCCAAAGCAAGTCCACAAGCTAATGTTGTTACGAAATCATATTTAGACCCAAAAAGAAGTCTTGAGATCTCTAAATCATATTTAGGCCCAAAAAGAAGTCTTGAGATCTCTACACCAACGCCTGTACTAATCCTAATCACGTAGAAAAGATAACAATTCTAATAAAACATAACGTTGATTGACTATCCAAATGAAACTCTAACCAAACTTGGTAAGGTTTGACACTGATCCTAATTATCATTAGAAAAGATAACAATTCTACCAACTAAAACATAAAGAGATCATCAAGACTCTAAGGGAGCAAGTAAATGATCATGGAATCAGAAGATTAGCTTAAATATTATTTGCATGAAATCTTTACAAAACCCATATTTCATCTATGTTAAATAATGGCATTCCTAACTGAATGATTTCTCATGAAAATCTTCTCCGGGCGACTGAATTGAGTCGCAATCGCCTGCTTCTTGCAGGCAGGCACCAGCTGTTTCCATCAACCATCTTTGCTTGCATTTTCCGGTACTCTCTTGACCTCAAAACTCCCTCTAAAATGTTTATGTCTTCGCGAATTTCGTGTCTGGAAAGCGATGCTAGACCGGGAAGTATGTCCCTCTGGAAGTCTTTCAATCTCCTGCCCCGTCTTATTTTGAAACCATAATCCTTGTTCTCCTCAAAATCTACTTCAGGCGGCTTTGATGACACGCACAAGTCATCTTCACTGCAGTCCTTTAGTTTCAGCGTGAAGAGCTCAAAGGAATCAACAGAATACTGTGGCGTTGCTCTCTCTATATTTTCCATCTCAGTTGATCCTCCATCTATAACCGAACAATCTCGATAACAAGCTGAACTCTCCAAAGAAATGTGGACAAGAGATTCTGCTGCCTTCTGCATCAAATCATCAACTTTATCTAATTCTTCTTTGCTGATATCTTTGCCATTTAACTCGCTGCTATCTAACGATCTTAAGTTCTGCTCACCATACAATGTTTCAGGAGCTTCAGACACTCTTCGGTTTCCTGAAAATGGATCAACAGCTAAGGGACTTCCAGATTCCCATTCTGGTTGTTGCTTAGTCTCTGCTGCATTACTCGATTCGTTATCACCGACTTGGCAAGGTTTGCATGAAGCTGAAGATATGTCGCCATGTCCATCTTGGATCGTATTTTTAGTGTGATCTGAATATGAAATTACATCATCTTCAATCTTCTTCTTCTCATGGTTTACTGCTCTTGTAGCTGCACATGTATGAATTTGGATCTTCAAACCTTCCAATGTGTATCCTCCGACATTTCTACCACTGGGATCATTCTTATGGTGGCCACGCTCTTCAGAAGGACCAGCTTTGGGCTGCCTGGACACAGCCTCCAAAGCAAGGACCACTTCACTGCCACTCAACTCGCCAAACTTGGGGCGCTTTGCTCCGCAAATTCCTTTGCTTTCATATTTGCTACTTGAATTCACCAATGTGAAATTTCCCACATCTGGATGAACAATGCCAGAAGTTTCATCCGAGCAATTATTGGATTCTTTAGTCCTAGTTGTCTCCTCTGCCCTACCAACTAACCCGTGGAAAGCATGCGATGAGCTGGCTGTTGAAGGATGCATCACCACAGGATCATTCGAGTAACAAGACGAGACATCACAATAGACTTTGTTAAGGTCCACATTCCATGTCCCAGATGAATTTATTTGCTGCTTCTTGGGGGACAAATTTAAGTTCAAGACATTACCATCGCGCCTCTCTAAATCTGCAAAGGACCAACCATAGGTTTAAAATACGCCTAGATCGAGTCTCAGAAGATCAATAAGATTTTAGACTTGCAGGGATAAACCGTGAGTACCTTGATCAAAAGAGTTTCTTTGGCAATCGTCTAGAAAAGAGCCCTTCTTCAGAGTACTGTGTGACGGAGCTTTCTCCGGAGTACTTGGGGTGATTGGATCAGTGAGTACTGATTTTTGCGAAGCCTCATACTTGCTTCGAGAATTCACAGTCGAAGCAGCAGAATTAAACAGAGGCGCATGTCCCAAATCCCCATTCGATATTGTCTCAGTCGATTCTTCCAAGTCAATAACATTTTGAGACAACTGCACATCAAAAAAAGTTCTCTTGTGCCTTTGCTTTCTCCTATTGCCATCTCCAATGCTCAAGGAAAGCTTCAAATCGTCCAGATCTGTAACATTGCCACAAAAAATAGCATACACATATCAACTCCACTATTTTTCTCAAATGATTTGTACTTCTATATTTTAGGTTATCTTACCAACATGACTAGTCCAGTGATTGGCAGGAAGTTCATGATAGCAAGGCCTTTGTTGAAGCTTATAAAATAGACCTTGTTGTAGTTCTAGCAATTCTTGGCTTTTAGAATGTTCTAAGCCCAGCTGACAAGGCAAGGTTATCATATTAACAGACAACAAATGGAAGAGCAGTACTTAAACCTATTAGTCCAGGATCGACCTAACTCGATCACATCCACCTCGACCGACCAAATGTCCATCTCTTGCAGGTTTTCACAAGATAACAGACTTGGTTTGGTACTTACTTTATTCAAATTGTATTGATCAAACTCCATCCAGCTGATATTATGCATCAGCGTCTTTTGCATCCCATATAAGCGATGGAGTTCATGAACCTGAAGAACAATCATCAGATCTAGATAGAAAAATACGGTCCTCAACTTTGGCACACATTGTTCAACAAAGAGCAAGTTTTAGCAGTGCGCTAATACCTGCTTCTGAAATATAATCTCCTGGTTAAGCATAGTGTTCCTGAAAACTTCTTTTAGTGAGTCGGTGTATATGTGCGCTGAATCAGTACACACCTCCCCTGAATTAAGATCAAAATCTCGCCGCATAAACATTTTGTCCCGGCAATATCAAATCAAATTCAGATCTTTCTCCTTCAAGCAAGCTTATTCGACTGATTTTCCACAATGTACTTCATGATGCATCCAAACAGATATCTTCGAGATATAATACCAATGAATTCTTGGACCACCAAACAATGAAGGGTCTCAGTATTCTACATGAAAATGAAAAGATATGTCCAGAAATTGCATCTCAGAATAAGAACATTCGTCCAATAAAATTGGAAGAGACCTAAAATACAACTTAAAATTATTTTTATTTTTTTTATAAGAAAAGACAACTTAAAATTATGAAAATTTACGGAAGTTAAACTAACTTAAGAGTAATAATTTTTGTATTTATATCAACATTTCCAAGTCCTTTTCATCCTTTTTTTTTTTTAATACCACAAGTCACATGTCAAAATTTCTATACTTGCATTCCTGATCAAAACAAAACCATACACTACAGTACATTTAAAGAAATTGGCATGTGAGTAATCAATTCAGTAAGCTTTCTAACCAGCTTACATTTGTAAAACAGATGGAGATCACAAAATGGCATGTATTTTGATTTCACAAGATAACCATTTGAAAAATAAAAATAAAATAAATTCGAGAAAGATATTTTAATACAGTGTCATATACCAAGGCACCTAAAGAACAAAAAACTCAGCCCCATTCCCAGATACTAATGCCGGAAAACAATCTCTCCCTGCCGTCTGCTTCTATTCCATAATGTCTTTTTTAAACAAAAAGATATAATCACCGATAATAGGCAACAGAAAAAAAAAAAAAAGAGAAGAAAAAAAAACACAATTCATCAACGTTCACTAAACTAGAATTACTGCTTAAATAGCACTTAGCTAAACAAACATATTGAAAATGAGCACTTTCAGAACTGGAAAAAATTATTATAAAAAAAAAGTATGCTAAGAACAAAAGAAAGAGAAAATAAATGACAAAAAAAAGGCAAACCCAGATTGTACTAAAACCAAATCTATTCTAGATTGCTATCAATCTCTCAGTTGAGAAACAATAGTAGAATTATATAATAGTTTCCAAATAATTAAAAAATCGAATCTTGTGCATTAAAGTACTTAAGGACCCTTTAAGAAAAGAAAAAAATCAGAACTTATAATGATAACAAGCTCAAATATATTAAAGAACTGAATCAAAAAAACCATGAACTTGGTGATAATAGCAACGATTACAGCATAAACACAGAGCATATAATATAATATATAAAATTCCAAATGCAAAGACTCTATGAAGATCGTTATTGTACATGAAAAAAAGACCCGTCAACTTCTTCTTCTTCCTCTTCTTCTTCTTGTTCTACGCATCAAGAGAGCATAATGAGAAGCAAAAGGTTCCAAACCCAAATGGGGTTTTTGGAGAAAAAAAGAAAAAGGAACGAAAGAAAAGAGGAGAGAAGGAAAATGATTAATAAGAAGAAGGTGCTTTCGTCAGAGAGAGTGATGGGAAAGATAGACATAATTCTGTTCTCTTGTGGTCCGATTTAATCACTTGATTTGAGTTTTTTTTTAATTTAAGTTAAGATATAATTTTATGTAAATTTTTTTTATTATAATAAAAAATTGAGATATTATTATTTTTAAAAATCTTTTATTATAATAAATTTTAAAATTTAAATTTAAATGAGTAAAATACCAATGCACGACGCAATGGTGCGCGTGTGGGAAGGGATCATCATCTTTTGTTGGTTGCTGCTCTCATTTTTATTTGCCTTTCTGTCTCTTTCATAATTTCACTCTCTCTCTTTCTCTCTCTTGGGATTCTCTTTCTCTCTCAAGAAAATAGAAAATTAAGAAATTAGAAATGAAAAATGAGGAAACGTTAGTGCCTCGTTCATTTCACTTATTTGAGTTTTTAATTTTAAATTTTTATAATAAAAAATTTTTAAAAAATATCACATATAATTTTTTTTATTATAATAAAAAAATTTTAAAAAATATCATATTTTAATTCGAATTGAAAATTTAAATTCACAAAGTGAAAGAGACTTAAATTTAAGATTTAAGGAGAAGAGCAGTCAGTGAGACAGAGACAGGCTGGGAGACAGTTTCAACTGAAAAAAGGTCATGCTAACACCCTTCTCATTGGTTCACTCCCTCCACGTATCCCTTCTTTTATTCTCTCTCTCCTCCTTTGACCTTTCATGTTTCTATCTTATTTTACTCAAAAAAACCATATCGGATTTTACCCTCATTAATTCCGGACCATGTTGTTATGATTTTTGCTTTTTCTTTTCTTTTTTTTACACATATACATGTTCTGACCAAAAAAAAATAGAAATGATAATGTTTTATTCTTTTTCGATGCAATTGATAAAAATGACTAAATTGAATTAAACTAATAAATCAATAATAGAATAAGAGAAATATAAATCATAATTTTTCTATTAGTGTTTAGACAGTGAAAAAGAGTTTTTTTTAATTATTTTTAAAGAGTTTTTATACATATTTAATAAAATGAGATTTAGACAATAAACAATTTATTAAGTCAAACCGATTACAATCACAATTTATTCAATCTAAACAGTCTCAAAAGCAACTTTTATACTAAATAAATCAAAAATAATTTTTTAAATTAATCTAAACAGACTCTAAAAATTAAATTAACAGTAATATACAAGATCATTTAAAGACTTTATAATAAAAATATGACATTCATAATTACATCCAAAAAGTTATTTACTTATTTATTTTTGTCTTATACTCTTACCGTAGAATTATCGTCTAAAGATATTAAATTTACAAAAATTAAAAACGCAGTGGTGCACTTTTTATGTAGCTAGAGGTTGTAATTTGTAGTTTAAAATGAAGTAACTTCTGTTTTTTATTTTTGGGTAGAAAATGTTTGCACATGTTTTGCTTGTGCAATAATTTTTGTTTTGTTTTTTTCATTACACGATTAAATTATGTTAATCAATGTTTACCAGTTTCGAAAGGAATGAATCTTATTACGTACAAGTTAATGAAAACTGTACAAAAGAAAAAATAAATAAATAATTAAGAAAAAAGGCAATAAATGGAAAGTCTTTCGAAATACATTAAATAATAGTCTTAATTATACAGACTTTTTAATAAAATTACAAATATAGGATAGGATAGGGGGCCCATCTATCTTTTTGATTGGAATAAGGGAGCTGATGCTAGATTCTATGTCATTAATTACTGGTAGGCCCATATGTCCAACTCTCTTTTGGTTAACAGGTTGTCATACTTATTATTATCATCTCTCTTCTTACACTGAAGTTGCAGACTTTTTATATTCATTTTCTTACTATTTTCTTTTTTTATTTTTAACTTTCTCCCCTTAAAGAAGGTACCAAAACGAGGCAAAGAAAGAGAGAGAGAGAACGTAAATTATGAGTTTAAAAAAGATAGGGGGCCCATCTCTCTTTCATATTCATTTTCTTACTATTTTTTTCTCTATATTTTAAATCATAATTTATAATTTTTTATAATATTTTTTTTATAAAAAATACATGTGAAATAAAAATAATTTTAAATTATGATTTTGAATCTATAAAGTAAACGTTCATTAAGGGGACGTTTGGTAAGGAGATTTGTACCCTGATTTGAATCATGGTTCATGATTCGCTATAGTATTTTCTTTCACAAAAAATACACGTAAATTAAAAATAGTTCTAATCTTATAATTCTAATCCATGAACCAAACATTTCTTAAATTTTTAACAAATATAACATTTAGAAATGTGGACTAAAAAATGTTGAAAAAAATGTTGAAATTTTTGTAAAAAGTATTCTGAGTGAGTAGTCGTTGAGGAAATGTTGAAGTTGATTTTTAAAGGTCTAGGGTGCTTTTGTTTTTAAGTAATAGAAAAAAAAATATATATATATATATAAGTTGAGTTTTTTTTATTAATGTTTAGATAGTACATGAAAAAATATTTTTATATTTAAGAAGAGTTTTTGAATTTGTTTCGGTAAAAAAAGTCAAAAGTACTTATTATTATAAAAATAATATAATAAAAAGATATGAATGTGATATTTAATTTGTTATTCATAAATAAAAAGTTAAAAATGTAGATAAAAAAAGTTTTTATAAGCATTAAGGAGATGATTTGTTTTAAAAATGCTTAAAAAAAGTTAAAATTATTTTAAAATTATTCATCTAAATAAATTTTAAAGTGACTTTTAAACTAAATAAGTTAAAAATAATTTTTTTTAAGTCACTCCAAACGGACGGAGAAGTTATTGGCTTTGCAGCTCTATAGGTAATTACGGTGTATAACTGGTACTTCTATAGTAAATTAAAAGGTTCTTTTGGCCAGATTTTGTGTGTCCTGTTTTTGGTCTAGTGACGCGATGATAAAACTAAACAAGAACCAAGTTGCCCTTCTAAAAGGCCTAAAAAGCCTAAAACGGCCCATAAAAAAATTGGCCAGATTTTGTGTGTCCTGTTTTTGGTCTAGTGACGCGATGATAAAACTAAACAAGAACCAAGTTGCCCTTCTAAAAGGCTTAAAAAGCCTAAAACGGCCCACAAAAAAATTGGCCAGATTTTGTGTGTCCTGTTTTTGGTCTAGTGACGCGATGATAAAACTAAACAAGAACCAAGTTGCCCTTCTAAAAGGCCTAAAAAGCCTAAAACGGCCCAAAAAAAAAAAAGGCCCCGGCCCCCCCCCCCCCCCCCCCCCCCATTGAATGGTCTTGTTTCGAAGTTCAAGGTTAGTTGGAATTGGAAACTCAAATTTATTTTATTTTCAGTGAATTTTTTTGTAGATCTAAAAAATTTAATTATCAATAGTTTACTGTTTTTAACCGTTAGATCTGGTCAAAATCACATCAAATTAAAAAACATACAAAATCAGATAATTTCTTATATAAATACGATGGATTGACGTAAACAACTATGAATAGTTCATTTTTCTAGACCTACCAAATAACTTCTTTTTTTTTTAAATGAAGTCATTTCGTTTTAAGAAGTTTCTCGGTAGTCTCGTTTTTGACCGTTAGATTAAAATCACATCATATTAAAAAAGTATGCATAATAGATAAATTCTGATACAAATCTAAATACTGAAAAGTAAGAGACTATTGATATTCTATTTTTACAGTGACTACTTAAGCAATTTCTTTCTTTTTATAAAGTAAGTCTTTTTTTTTTATAAATATAAAAGACATGCTGCCTTATTTGGTCCATGGGTTTAATTGTTTGAATCTATAAACAAAATTAAACTAGTGTTTAGATAGAAAAGTAAGAAATGATTTGAACTCTTAGTGACATTTAAACCATCAATCAAAGGGTCAAACTGATAATGTTCCAAAAAAGAAAGAAATCTAGAATAAAATGTATGTAACGAGACTATTGGTTCATAGATTTACAACCATGATTCAGAATCATTCTCATTTTACGTGTGTTTTTTGTGATAGAAAATACTGTAGCAAGACATGAATTATGATTCAAATCATGGCACGAATTCCCATTCTAAACGTCCCATAATTACTTTTTTGCTTGTAATTACTAAGGATTTTACTGTTCGTACACCACTTTTTAATCTGCACACTCCTTTCTATAATATTAGTTTGAAATGAGTTATGGTTGAATATTGAATAATACATCTGTCGATAAAAAAAAAGTGTTCTAGTTGAGTATTGGATATTAAATAGTTAGCATTTTATATTAGGACTCAAAACGTTATTTCATCTTTGCTCAATTTATGTCTATGAATTATGACATGCATTGAAAAACAGAACGAAGTAGAAACGAACAAATAGATATATATGATTAGTTTACCAACAAAATTACTCGATATGCCTTACATTGCAGATTAATGGCATGAATTAGAGCACCAAGTTTGTCCCTGCAGTAATGAAAACTAGAATCAATGGTAATATGTGAAACAAAGATTACAGTGGTCCGTGGAAGTACAAAATAACTATGATCCAAAAAATTCTAAAAAACAGTCACATTTAACATTTTTATTACAATAAAAAACTTTCATATAAAATCACATCTCAATTTAAATTAAAAATTTAAATCAACAAATTAAACGGACTATATATATATATATAACTACTAACTACTAACTACAAACAAATAGTGATATACGACAGAAAAAGGTTAGCTGGCCAGATGTGAAGTCTCCTTAAATTTGTTGTTTTCTTAACTGGTGTGAAACGCCACAAAATTATTATTTTAATATATCTATATACGTTTGAAAAATTTGGTACTGACATTTGAGGGCTCTTACCAGTCCTAACAAAATTTCAATGTTTCCATCACAAATACATACATATTTCCGAGATAATGATGAAACAATAATAGTATCACAAACATATATTAGACAGAAAGCGTCCGTTTTAAATGTAAG